TAATCCTTACTTATATTATAAATCTGAAAGTGAGTTTGTTTGTTTGTTTGTTCCACCTTGACGCCGTAAGTAGGTACTCAACCGATTGCTTTGAATTTTGGCAGACGTAAAGTTGGAAGTCCGGATTAAATAATAGGGTACTTTTTAACCCGGAAAAAATTGATATTCCCGAGGAAAAACAAATGTATTGGTGTAGATGGCGCTGTGTGTATTGGTATATGTCACATAGGCTACTTTTTATTCTTTTGTGACGCGAGCGGAGCCGCGGGTAAAAGCTAGTACATTATAAATGCGAAAGTTTGTGAGGATGTATGTAAGTGTGTGTGTGTGTGTGTGTGTGTGTGTGTGTGTGTGTGTGTGTGTGTGTGTGTGTGTGTGTGTGTGTGTGTGTGTGTGTGTGTGTGTGTGGTGTGTGTGTGTGTGTGTGTGTGTGTGTGTGTGTGTGTGTGTGTGTGTGTGTGTGTGTGTGTGTGTGTGTGTGTGTGTGTGTGTGTGTGTGTGTGTGTGTGTGTGTGTGTGTGTGTGTGTGTGTGTGTGTTACTGATTCACGCAAAACCTACTGATCGGATTTAGATGAAACTTCACAGTAATGTAGGTCATACATCACAATAACTTACAGGCTACAATTTGTAATGACTTTATGGTATTTTGGGCGTAATATAACACAAAATGTTAGCTAAATCGGGCCTCTGAGATCTATATCGGCGTACGCTGCCTAAACCATAGGAGTTACACTAAAATAATGTACTTAAGATTGTTTGTCTTGATTAGTTCTAAATAAAAGTCCACGACGGCATATGACCTTTTATGTGGAAGTCACAATGCCGATTTTTAAGAATAATAATTACGATTTATCTGATAACGCATAACTGACAGGTAACATTACTATGCTAACCAACCTGATGATTTGTAATGCCGGCCTACTTCCATAGTAAATTTTGGCATGAACAGACAAAAATTAGGTTCCGTGGGCTTTCAAGGACTAATATTATCTAGTATATCGGGGATCAGGGATTTAAAAAAATACGAATTCAATTAACTATAATAATAAGAATATAATTTACTCATAGAAGCCTGTGCCCACGGTTTCGCTCGCGCTCTTTTAATAGGTTGAGGGCAGGATTTACAAAAAAACAACTTTAAATGGTCCACGATTTTTTGCTGGTAATAAATAACCGGCATACCAATTTTTAGCTTGCCACATTGAAAATTGCAAAACACCCCATACAAACTTCTACCTCTGTTTCAGGAAGTGGGGGTTAGAAAGAGACAAAAAGTAGCATATGCTACCCTCCATCCTTTCAACTATCTCCAATCAAAAAACCTTTCTGAATCCGTTCTACCCTGAAAGACAAACAAACAAACAGACTCACACCAAATAATATTAATATACATTTCTAAGTCATCCGACTATTGTGCGACAAGTGAGAGACTTTTAAAAAGGAGAAGGTTCTTAATTCGACCGTATATATGCTTTTTTATGTTTGTTCGCCGATATCTCCGTTATTTATGAACCGATTTTGATAATTCTTTTTTGTTAAAAAGGAGATAGTCCCAGAATGGAATAAGAAAATCAGGATCTGATTATGGAAGAGCAGGGAACCGAGGGGAACTCTTAAAAATTACAGGGGCGACTAGTGCATTTGTTAATTTTTTCATAAAGTATTTAATAACCATCTGATAAAGGTCTGGAGTCGATCTGGTGATGGAGCCGAGAGCCAATCGGAGGAACTCCTCAACGGTTAACAGTAGCTACCTTACCTTGTGTTTAGGTTTGATTATTTTGTATTGATGAGGACTTTATACCTAGATGGGATGTGATTGTCATGATGGGTCTGATGATGAAGTAGTACGGCAGTTAAGGGAACTGGAACTCCTTAACGGTTTATATTTTGTTATGGGTTTGTGGCACCGACTTCTAACCTATCACTGGGTGTGTCAGCTATACGTATGGCGTATGACCAATAATAGTTATTGTTTTCCTTTTTAGTTTTTACTTTTCGTTTGTCTTTAGTTTTTGAAGTCGGTTTTTTTATACCACGACGGTGGCATAAAGCCCACCTAATGGTAAGCGTTTACCGTGGCCTATGTACGCCTGCAACACTTGGGGCATTACATGTGTCTTACCTACCCTTAAGAAACCTATTCCCTCCCTTTGGAAGAACCCCATGTTGTAGCCTACTGGGAAAACCACAACATGGAGTTCATTCCACAATCCGAGGGTCCGTGGGAGGAAATTCCTCTAAAACCGAACTGTACGGGACCATTTGGGCCCCAATGTGTGAGCGTGAACTCCCTGTCGATGGCCTGTAGAAAGTGGCCGTGGGCATCATATTAAACAATTCCGCGGAACACAACCCATTATACAAGCAGTAGAACACGCACAAAGAGGCAAAATCTCTCCTTAGACTTAAGTGCTCGATACCTACCGCTCGTAAGTATAGAATCGTCAACAAGTCTTACAGCTCTCCTTTGGACCGCGTCAAAAGGTCCAAGCTGGTATGCTGGCGCTCCTGCCCAGAGATGAGAGCATTATTCCATATGGGGGCAAACTTGCAATTTATATAAAAGCAGTCTTTGTCCCGGCGTGAAGTAGGAGGAGGATACCTTTACTTTTGGAGATGTTAAGGGTAGTGTCTTGGAATTTAGGGGCCACAACGAATTGTTTTTTAGCGGTGAACGCACAAACTTGTCTTGGAGGGGTTGAACCGGACCATATGGTCCCGACCCCAATCGGAGACTCGGCCTAAGGTATTTTCGGTTTGAGACACACGTTTTACACGGCTTTCTTCCACAACGGAACGAGGGATATTTGCACGGCCCGTGTAAGACGCGTCCCCAGTGCTATCATCGGCATAGCAATGAATACCCTCCTAACAGACAGCAAATAATTGATATGCAGAAGACACAGCGTTTATGTCCATGCTTTTAGAGCAACTACTGTCTACGACGGCTCTTATGCGTCGGCCGGACAAAAAGCTATCAACCCATTTGTGCAATCCCTCGGGCAATTGGCAATCGTGCGTATGATGGTAACTTCGTCAGAAGATTCCGGTGCCAGACCCTATCGAACGCCTTCGGTATATCTAGGCTAACTGCCAATGCCTCACCTAGACTCTCAATGGCCGAGGCCAAACGGTGTGTGAGATACACTAGAAGATCACCAGTCGAGCGACTGTGGCAAAAACCGGTCGCTGAGCACGTCGTGCTCCTCTAGGTATCGAAGGAGCTTGGTATTGATTACTCGCTCCATCACCTCGGAAAGATCCCTTCTTTTCGAGGTGATGGTGTAATAGCGATAGACCTGCAATTCGTCGGGTCTCTTCTATCGTCGTTACGTAGGCGGTCTTCCACGAAGACGGTACTTGCCTAGCGTGGTAAGAAAGAGCGAAGAGACGCATTAGAACAGGGCACAATTCAGAAGCACACTCCTTGAAAGCCACTGCCGGTATGTCGTTGGGCCTGCTCGACTTATGAACATCAAGACTTGGCAACTCTCGCTGAATATCTCTTTGTGAGAATTCCACCTCCGCCATAAAGTGGTCGTAATGCGGTATGTAAGGTGGTATGATGCTATCAACGACATTCAAATTTGAGTTTGAGGCAAAAAGAGTACCTAACAGATCGGCTTTCTCTTTTGCACTGTGGGCCAGGTTGCCATCGGCATTTTGCAGTAGCGGTAAGGACGACTGACAGAAGTTACCTTCGTCAGCTTTGGCATGAGACCAGAAGGCAAATCGCTAATTCTGCCGATGAAATCGAATTTTGCTTTGGCAATTTTACTTTTGTTGGACACGGGAGTTTCGTTAGGTTCTGTTTCGGTTTCGGTAGGTTCTGTTTCGGATTCTGTTTCGGTTTCGGTAGGGTCTGTTTCGGTTCTGTTTCGGATTGGTTGGGAGGAAACGCCCGGGTGTCATCACATCACATCACGAGGACCACCCGGAGGACACGGTGGAGCATACCGTGGCGGTGTGTCAATTCTATTTCTATTTTGGGAGCTACTCCTCTGACATATGACAAATAAGTTTGAAACGAATAAAAAATAAAAAACACTTTTAAAACATGAAACTTTTTATTTACAATTCTATCGCACCATTCAGAGTTAAACTTTAATAATAAAATAATCACAATAATAATACCTAGAATAATAAATAATAATACTTTTCCTACATCAATAAGAAGGGCGCGAACTATTATTTTCAAATACAGTGTATAATTATATCAATAGTAATAAATAATTATATTTATAAAACATTCATTGTGTAAAAATATATTTGAAAATAAATCAGATTCCTTTATTTTTTATGTTGTTTCTAAATAATACTTATACAAAAATTGATTGCTTTTTGAAATGAATCGAGAAATCTTGGGTCTTATGACCACACTTGAAAGCTAAATTTTATCATTGACATTGACATAAACATTTATTATTGACTCAAAAACCAGAGACACAACAATATAGAAAAAACAAAATTAAATGTATTTTGAAAAGAAATTGGTAATGTGGTCAGCCCTACTAAAAGATAAATAAAATCCAGCTACATTTATATTGAATACCATCTCTAATTAAAGCTAAATTGTCGTCACAAGAAACAGAGATACTCTCTCCATCTCTCTCTTTTAGCAGATTTCTCACTCCAACGCCACAAAACAATCAATTTTAAAAACAACATTCTTTTTTAAGCTGTAGATCTCAAAGTTTCATTACTAAGCATAACAATAATAATAATACGTATATACAAACGCATTTACTGAGCAATAACTGAGTTTTTAATCATTTTTGTATACATTTTATCAAGCGGTACTTTTAGTACCAGCTAATAAATCAACTGTGTATTAGTTGAAACTCATTTCAATTGGTAAATTGTTGATATATTTTAATATTACTCAGTAAATGAAATAGTGACAAAGTCATTTTGTTCAGTTATCATAGTGTCGAGCGATTAATGTTTGTTCAGTTTTGTCGTTATCGAGTGAGACGATGCCGATGATGTAGCAGATTATGATATAATTTCTTGCCTTTTGTTGTATGAGCAACCTCCTTTGGCGATGGCGACACATTTCTGTAATGAAATACATTCAACAATAAGTATAAAAATAAATATAACAAATTGTACTCATTTTCTACCAAAAACGAAGTTATAACTGAACAATGGCCAGGAGAACGTATAATTAAGTATTATTAAGTTTTAACATGGAACTACAACTAACTATTCTAGTCCATTTCTATCTATTTTTACTACATTCATTCGATAATTTCAAAATATGTATTTAGTTAATAGTTATATGAAGTTCACACAAATAGAATTATCATCACTTTATTCACCACTACATTATTCTTCTTTACCTAAGTTTACCGTTTAAGTGTGCCGTTTCCTACCAAAATTTTAAGAGAATATTTTTACACAAACCTCTCCCGACGCGTCATATTCCTGTCCACTAGGGCAATGCATCTGTATGCCGTATCCTTCAACGCATCGGAAGAACTTATCACAGTTGTTAGGGTCTGCCAAAAAGCGGTCCTCGTTGTCAGGGCACATGAAGTTTACGGTGTTTTTCCACGCTTCTGTGGTCAACTCAACTTTTGCTTCTGTCTTCTGACCTGAGCGCTGTGGAAGCGTACATCTTCCTTCAACGATAGGCACGCATACCTGTAAATAAAGTAGCGTTGCTATTAATATCTTCAATATTCAATTCATCAATGTTTTCACCTACAAAAGTAAAATTCGTTGTATAACGCTACTACATTGCACTGTTTACTTAGGAATAAAACCTTTGGCGGCCGGTAGAACATTTGGAGGCAAATCCTCTATCAACATCCGTTACCAGTATCCCAGGATGTTACCTAAGAGCCTTAGCATTACTTTACTAATGTACATACCCTGGTTTCACGATCAAATTCGAGTCCATCGCTGCAAGTAAACAATAAAGCGTTGCCACCGGAACACAAGTAGAAAGCGTCGCATCTGTCCGGGTGAGGTACGTTGCCAAACATGCCTGGAGCACAGATGGGAGCCTCTGTGGTAGTATCATCCGCTACCGTGGTCGTATCAACAAGTTCAGGCGCAGCCTGTGTTACATATTGTTCAGTAGTCTCAGGCGCGGCAGTAGTTGTTACATCCTGTGCAGTAGTTTCTCCTCCGGGTGTTGTTGCTTTACTCATGGTACATCCTCCTTCGGCGATTTGCACGCACAACTAAAATAATAATTTTCTTTAGTTTCAAAATTTAACGTACAAATGGTGACATATTTCATCTAAATTAAGCTTTTCGATATCGGATGGACAAATTTGCCCATTTTGAATGTACATACTTATTCTTCTTCTTAGTTCAAGTTTAAAACCCAAGAACTGAGTCTCAAAGGTAAAACCACACATGATATCGAGTCTATGACAAAAGGGGTACATTAAGAACAGTGTCAAATACATACCCTCGTTTCTGGGTTAAATTCAAGTCCCTCGCCACAAGTAAACGGTAAAGCGTTGCCGCCGGAGCACAAGTAGAAAGCGTCGCATCTGTCCGGGTGAGGTACGTTGCCAAACACGCCTGGAGCACAGATCGGAGCCTCTGTGGTAGTGTCAATAAATGCTTCGGTCGTAGTGCCGTCAGCGGGAATGTCATCTGACGCTGTTGTAGGAGCTAAAGTTGTCGTCTCAGGTGCGGCAGTAGTTGTTACATCCTGTGCAGTAGTCTCAGGCGCGGCAGTAGTTGTTACATCCTGTGCAGTAGTCTCAGGTGCGGTAGTAGTTGTTACATCCTGTGCAGTAGTCTCAGGTGCGGCAGTAGTTGTTACATCCTGTGCAGTAGTCTCAGGTGCGGCAGTAGTTGTTACATCCTGTGCAGTAGTCTCAGGTGCGGTAGTAGTTGTTACATCCTGTGCAGTAGTCTCAGGTGCGGCAGTAGTTGTTACATCCTGTGCAGTAGTCTCAGGTACGGCAGTAGTTGTTACATCCTGTGCAGTAGTCTCAGGTGCGGCAGTAGTTGTTACATCCTGTGCAGTAGTCTCAGGAGCGGCAGTAGTTGTTACATCCTGTGCAGTAGTTTCTCCTCCAGGTGTTGTTACTTTACTCATGGTACATCCTCCTTCGGCGATTACTACGCACAACTAAAATAATACATTTTCCTTAGTTTCACAATTTAAAATTACGTTTATAACTGACGAAATAATGAAATATTTTATTTCAACTAAGCTCTTCGATAGCGGATAGACACACTTTATGATTTTGAATGTACATACTTATTCTTCTTTTTCTTATTAAATTCAGTTTCATATCCCAAGAGCTGACCATCAAGGGTAAATCCAGACATAATATTAAATCTATGACAAAAGGGGTACTTAAAGAATATTAACAAATACGTACCTTGGATTCAGGGTCAAATTCGAGTCCTTCGCCACAAGTAAACGGTAAAGCGTTGCCGCCGGAGCACAAGTAGAAAGCGTCGCATCTGTCCGGGTGAGGTACGTTGCCAAACACACCTGGAGCACAGATCGGAGCCTGTGTGGCAGTGTCAATAAATGCTTCGGTCGTAGTGCCGTCATCGGGAATATCATCTGATGCTGTTGTAGGAGCTAAAGTTGTCGTCTCAGGCGCGGCAGTAGTTGTTACATCCTGTGCAGTAGTTTCAGGCGCGGCAGTAGTTGTTACATCCTGTGCAGTAGTTTCAGGCGCGGCAGTAGTTGTTACATCCTGTGCAGTAGTTTCAGGCGCGGCAGTAGTTGTTACATCCTGTGCAGTAGTTTCAGGCGCGGCAGTAGTTGTTACATCCTGTGCAGTAGTTTCAGGCGCGGCAGTAGTTGTTACATCCTGTACAGTAGTCTCAGGCGCGGCAGTAGTTGTTACATCCTGTGCAGTGGTCTCAGGCGCGGCAGTAGTTGTTACATCCTGTGCAGTAGTTTCTCCTCCAGGTGTTGTTGCTTTACTCATGGTACATCCTCCTTCGGCGATTTGCACGCACAACTAAAGTAATACATTTGCATTAGGTTAAAAATTTCAAATTACTTACAAATGATGAAATGTTTCATTTGAATTAAGCATTTTTGATAGCGTATAGACACACTTTCCCTTTTTGAATGTACATAATTATTTTTCTTTTTCTTATAAATTCAATTTCAAAACCCAAGAGCTGAGCATCAAGGATAAAACCAGACATAATATTAAATCTATGACAAATGGGGTACTTTAAGAATATTGTCAAATACCTTGGATTCAGGGTCAAATTCGAGTCCCTCGCCACAAGTAAACGGTAAAGCGTTGCCACCGGAGCACAAGTAGAAAGCGTCGCATCTGTCCGGGTGAGGTACGTTGCCAAATACGCCTGGAGCACAGATCGGAGCCTCCGTGGTAGTGCCGTACGTTGTAGGCAATGTTGTCGTTTCGTAATCAATTGTTGTTGATCCTTCAGTTGGTACATCATCTACGTCCGAGCTAGTGCTGCCGGCAGGAGCAGTCGTAGGCTCGGATGTAGACGTCACTCCACGTTCAGTGGTTGTAACGACATCACCAGGAAGGAAGTCATCTGGATCTCTTTCTGTGGTTGTGTCAGGCAGTTCAGAGCTTGGAGTAGTTGTGACATCTACGACTGGGGTCGTTTGAGATCCGAGCGTGCAGCCTCCTTCAGCGATCCTGACACATTCCTGCAAATTTGTTCTGTATTAATATCATGTTTGCTACGGACTGCAGTACCAATTCTATCTAATTTTGAAGTACACTTACTCTCACATTAGGGTCGAACTCAAAACCTTCGCTACAGAAGAGCTGGATAGCCTGGCCTCCTGTGCACATATAGAAAGAGTTGCACAGTTCTGGGTGGGGTATGTTTCCAAATTGGCCTTCTGCGCATATTGGCGGGTCAGCAATCGTAGTAGCTTCTGTGGTAGTTGCAGATTGGAACGTGCAGCCTCCTTCAGCGATCTCTACACAGCCCTGTAATAAACAAACCATGTTCGTCATTTGAAAGGTACGTTAAGTCTACTAAATCAAAATAATATCATATTTTGATTTCAGTCAACTTTATTTTACAAAGATATTATTTATTGACTGACCCTTGATCCATGATCATATTCGTATCCATCGACACAGAAGAGCTGCATAGGTTTGTCACCATCACAAATGTAGAATGAGTTGCACAGCTCTGGATGCGGTATAGTTCCAAACACTCCTACACAAATTGTTTCATCCAATCCTGGCGTTGAAGTTGTCGCAACGTTAGCAAGAGTTGTGCTAGAGACACTATTTTCAGTTGTTGATGGTCCCTCAGGAGTTGTTGCTGAACCCAGAGTACATCCTCCTTCAGCTATGACCACGCATGTCTGCAAAAATAGTTAAACATGTATACTAATGCATACCACCGCGGACTTAACATGTCTCTTACTACATTCATTTGTCAAGTTTGAACCGGGACTAAGTGTTTTAAAAATAACCGTAATTATTATGTTGTTTTTAAACGCCTTTACCTTTTCAATAGGATCAAATTCAAGTCCATCAGCGCAAGTGAAGGGTATAGCTTCTCCGTTCACACATAGGAAGTATGAATTACAGCTTTCTGGGTTAGGAACGTTCCCAAAGACGTCTGCGGGACATGGATTTATGTCTACAGCTTCCGTGGTGGTTGGCAAAGCTGGTGTTGTATTACTATCATCAGGTGTGCTATCAGATGATCCTATGGAGGGACCAGGAGTGGTGACGTCATCTGGAGTTGTGACATCATTTACAGTCGTTGAACCGGGAGTGGTAACATCATCTGGAGTTGTGAAATCATTTACAGTCGTTGAACCGGGAGTGGTAACATCATCTGGAGTTGTGACATCATTTACAGTCGTTGAACCGGGAGTGGTAACATCATCTGGAGTTGTGAAATCATTTACAGTCGTTGAACCGGGAGTGGTAACATCATCTGGAGTTGTGACATCATTTACAGTCGTTGAACCGGGAGTGGTAACATCATCTGGAGTTGTGACATCATTTACAGTCGTTGAACCAAGAGTGGTAATTCCATCTGGAGTTGTGACATCACCATTTACAGTGGTTGAACCGGTCACTTCATTGCTGTCCGTGGTCGTCTGCATAGTTGTAGTCGATTGGAAGCCGTCCGGTGTAGTGACGGGTCCTGTGGTGGAACCAGAGCCGAGGGTGCAACCTCCTTCGGCTATAACCACGCATGTCTACGGAGAGAGGACAAAATTAAATTATACAGTTTTATAGGGAGATGAAGGAGTTAAACAAACTTTTTAAAACTTGATGATGTAGTTCTATCCAGCCGTTTCCAAGCATTAATCAGACTTATAAAGGATAGTTACTGGTCTACTTAATAAAGATTTTCTTTACTTTATGATTATACCTTTTCCTTACCCATAATTATAAATATTGTTTACCTTATGTTCAGGATCGAATTCGAAGCCTTCACTGCAGAACAGTTGGATTGCGTGTCCTCCTGTGCACAGATAGAATGAGTTGCACAGTTCTGGGTGGGGGACATTGCCCCACGTGCCTGGAGGACAGTTGGGGTCTACTGTGGTCGTCTCTGGCGGAGTGGTCGTACTGGTTGTCGGTGCCAAAGTCGTAGTTTGGCTCATTGTGCAGCCTCCCTCAGCGATGGGGACGCAAGACTGAAAACATTTGACTGTTAGTTTCCATTCATCCATCCATCATCCATCGACTTCACTTTATGAAGTACTTCTCTATAATAATAATTTTGTCAATTTTTTTGCTACATTTAAGACATTTTTCAAGTGCAACTACCATGAAAATAGTTCACTCATTTCAAGATTGCATTATGTTATAATGTTCAGATAAATATTTTTATAACAAAATCAATAAGGGAATAGAAGCTTTTTATAACAACTCCGTTTTGTCACAACGTATGATAAAAAAAAAAATAAATAAAAATTGTCACCAAAATTATAATACTCAACTCACCCCAGTATTTGGATCGAATTCAAATCCTTCACTACAGAACAGTTGGATCGCTGATCCCGCTGCGCACACATAGAATGAGTTGCACAAAGTTGGATGAGGAATATTGCCCCACACTCCTATAGGACAGATTTCGGGTCCTTCCGTGGTAGTTATAGAACTGTCCGTGGTGGAACCAACGGGTGTAGTGGAAGAATCGGTGGCAGATACTGTTGTTGAGCCGGTGACGGGACCCAAAGTACATCCACCTGGTGCAATAGCGACACAGTTCTGGAAATAACAGAGAATAATATATTATTATGCATTAATGATGATGGGAGGCGTTTGTCCCGCAGTGGACGTCCTTTGGCTGTTGATGATGACGATGATGAATGGATGGTGTTATTATATGGACATCCATGGGCGACGCCTATTGCTTGAATCGAATCATCAAATGATCTGTCTGCTCGTTTACCGGTTTATCGCAGAAAAAACTAATAACTGACTTTTGACTTTTTCGACATGAACTTATTCATATTAAATGAAAAAAGCGAACGAAAAATTAATAAAGACTCAAAAAAATATCTTACCCCGACTGTAGCATCAAACTCGTAACCACTGGCGCAGTACAATTTGACAGCAACTCCACTAACGCATAAGTAGAAGGCATTACATTCGTCTGGATGGGGGACATTTCCGTAAACGTCCGGAGGACAGGGACCATCATCCTCTGTTGTTGATCCTTGTGTTGTTGTGGACACGGGTGTATCGTCACCAGTCGTTGTTGATCCTTCCGTGGTCGTGGATCCATCGGGAAGTGTTGGTTCTCCTGTTGTTGATCCTTGTGTTGTTGTAGACACGGGTGTATCGTCAACAGTCGTTGTTGATCCTTCCGTGGTCGTGGATCCATCAGGAAGTGTTGGTTCTCCTGTTGTTGGTCCTTGTGTTGTTGTAGACACGGGTGTATCGTCGCCAGTCGTTGTTGATCCTTCCGTGGTCGTGGATCCATCGGGAAGTGTTGGTTCTCCTGTTGTTGATCCTTGTGTTGTTGTGGACACGGGTGTATCGTCACCAGTCGTTGTTGATCCTTCTGTGGTCGTGGATCCATCGGGAAGTGTTGGTTCTCCCGTTGTTGTTGATGATCCCTGTGGAGAAATGAGTTGTTGGTATGTGTTGTCGTAAAGTGATCTTCAAAAATGTTGGTCGCTAAATCTTATTTTTCAAAGAAATAGCGATTGATAAAAGTAATTTAAGATGTTGTTTATATTTTATGGATCATGTATTATGATGGTCAAAGTTAAAGATTTAACCAAATGGTAATTATCGTAGTCTCTAATGCCCAATTCACACAATGCAAAAATTTTATTCGCGTTGCAAGTAATTTAGTCCCTAAATATGTCTAAGCAGCAAATGTACTACAGTAGCGTAGTTTAGTGTGATTTTGGTATAGAAGTGAGAGAAAACTACTAGATTACTCGCAGCTCGACTAAAATACTAGCGTGTTGCGAACAAGACATAAGAGAATATTTGTAAACATTATTTAGTTTACATGCCTAGAAAAATATTTCATTTCATAGTATTACTCTGAAACGAAACTTAATAAAATAGATTTAAATTCTATTCTGCAATGTTTAGATAGCCACTGTGTAGCAGACAAAGACTACAACGAAATTTGTATGAATTATCTGTCACATGAGTTTATCCGATACTTATATGAAGGTGGTGTGACAGGTGCTTGACCTGTGTCGTTGATGAGAGTTGTTGCAGTATAAGTTCCTACAGAGCAAGATCAAGTGTTTGTGTTAAGTGTGTTTATTACCTGTGTTGTTGGTGAATATGTAGTAGTTAGGTCAGTTGACGGAACGTGTGTAGTGGTCGGTTCTACAGTAGTTTGTGGTGCGTCAGTTGTTGGTGCGCCAGTTGTAGGCTCATATGTAGTTGTTGGTGCGCCAGTTGTCGGTACATATGTGGTAGTTGGTGCGCCAGTTGACGGAACGTGTGTAGTGGTCGGTTCTACAGTAGTTTGTGGTGCGTCAGTTGTTGGTGCGCCAGTTGTAGGCTCATATGTAATTGTTGGTGCGCCAGTTGTCGGTACATATGTGGTAGTTGGTGCGCCAGTTGACGGAACGTGTGTAGTGGTCGGTTCTACAGTAGTTTGTGGTGCGTCAGTTGTTGGTGCGCCAGTTGTAGGCTCATATGTAGTGGTTGGTGCGCCAGTTGTCGGTACATATGTGGTAGTTGGTGCGCCAGTTGACGGAACGTGTGTAGTGGTCGGTTCTACAGTAGTTTGTGGTGCGTCAGTTGTTGGTGCGCCAGTTGTCGGTACATATATGGTAGTTGGTGCGCCAGTTGACGGAACGTGTGTAGTGTGCGGTTCTACAGTAGTTTGTGGTGCGTCAGTTGTTGGTGCGCCTGTTGTAGGCTCATATGTAGTTGTTGGTGCGCCAGTTGTCGGTACATATGTGGTAGTTGGTGCGCCAGTTGACGGAACGTGTGTAGTGGTCGGTTCTACAGTAGTTTGTGGTGCGTCAGTTGTTGGTGCGCCAGTTGTAGGCTCATATGTAGTTGTTGGTGCGCCAGTTGTCGGTACATATGTGGTAGTTGGTGCGCCAGTTGACGGAACGTGTGTAGTGGTCGGTTCTACAGTAGTTTGTGGTGCGTCAGTTGTTGGTGCGCCTGTTGTAGGCTCATATGTAGTTGTTGGTGCGCCAGTTGTCGGTACATATGTGGTAGTTGGTGCGCCAGTTGACGGAACGTGTGTAGTGGTCGGTTCTACAGTAGTTTGTGGTGCGTCAGTTGTTAGTGCGCCAGTTGTAGGCTCATATGTAGTTGTTGGTGCGCCAGTTGTCGGTACATATGTGGTAGTTGGTGCGCCAGTTGACGGAACGTGTGTAGTGGTCGGTTCTACAGTAGTTTGTGGTGCGTCAGTTGTTGGTGCGCCTGTTGTAGGCTCATATGTAGTTGTTGGTGCGCCAGTTGTCGGTACATATGTGGTAGTTGGTGCGCCAGTTGACGGAACGTGTGTAGTGGTCGGTTCTACAGTAGTTTGTGGTGCGTCAGTTGTTGGTGCGCCTGTTGTAGGCTCATATGTAGTTGTTGGTGCGCCAGTTGTCGGTACATATGTGGTAGTTGGTGCGCCAGTTGACGGAACGTGTGTAGTAGTCGGTTCTACAGTAGTTAGTGGTGCGTCAGTTGTTGGTGCGCCAGTTGTAGGCTCATATGTAGTTGTTGGTGCGCCAGTTGTAGGTACATATGTAGTTGTTGGTGCGCCAGTTGTCGGTACATATGTGGTAGTTGGTGCGCCAGTTGACGGAACGTGTGTAGTGGTCGGTTCTACAGTAGTTTGTGGTGCGTCAGTTGTTGGTGCGCCAGTTGTCGGTACATATGTGGTTGTTGGTGCGCCAGTTGTCGGTACATATGTGGTAGTTGGTGCGCCAGTTGACGGAACGTGTGTAGTGGTCGGTTCTACAGTAGTTTGTGGTGCGTCAGTTGTTGGTGCGCCAGTTGTAGGCTCATATGTAGTTGTTGGTGCGCCAGTTGTCGGTACATATGTGGTTGTTGGTGCGCCAGTTGACGGAACGTGTGGCGTGGTCGGTTCAACAGTAGTTTGTGGTGCGTCAGTTGTTGATGCGCCAGTTGTAGGCTCATATGTAGTTGTTGGTGCGCCCGTTGTCGGTACATATGTAGTTGTTGGTGCGCCAGTTGTCGGTACATATGTGGTAGTTGGTGCGCCAGTTGACGGAACGTGTGTAGTGGTCGGTTCTACAGTAGTTTGTGGTGCGTCAGTTGTTGGTGCGCCAGTTGTCGGTACATATGTGGTTGTTGGTGCGCCAGTTGTCGGTACATATGTGGTAGTTGGTGCGCCAGTTGACGGAACGTGTGTAGTGGTCGGTTCTACAGTAGTTAGTGGTGCGTCAGTTGTTGGTGCGCCAGTTGTAGGCTCATATGTAGTTGTTGGTGCGCCAGTTGTCGGTACATATGTGGTTGTTGGTGCGCCAGTTGACGGAACGTGTGTAGTGGTCGGTTCTACAGTAGTTTGTGTTGCGTCAGTTGTTGGTGCGCCAGTTGTCGGTACATATGTGGTTGTTGGTGCGCCAGTTGTCGGTACATATGTGGTAGTTGGTGCGCCAGTTGACGGAACGTGTGTAGTGGTCGGTTCTACAGTAGTTTGTGTTGCGTCAGTTGTTGGTGCGCCAGTTGTCGGTACATATGTGGTTGTTGGTGCGCCAGTTGTCGGTACATATGTGGTAGTTGGTGCGCCAGTTGACGGAACGTGTGTAGTGGTCGGTTCTACAGTAGTTTGTGGTGCGTCAGTTGTTGGTGCGCCTGTTGTAGGCTCATATGTAGTTGTTGGTGCGCCAGTTGACGGTACATATGTGGTTGTTGGTGCGCCAGTTGTCGGTACATATGTGGATGTTGGTGCGCCAGTTGACGGAACGTGTGTAGTGGTCGGTTCTACAGTATTTTGTGGTGCGTCAGTTGTTGGTGCGCCAGTTGTCGGTACATATGTGGTAGTTGGTGCGCCAGTTGACGGAACGTGTGTAGTGGTCGGTTCTACAGTAGTTTGTGGTGCGTCAGTTGTTGGTGCGCCTGTTGTAGGCTCATATGTAGTTGTTGGTGCGCCAGTTGTCGGTACATATGTGGTAGTTGGTGCGCCAGTTGACGGAACGTGTGTAGTGGT